AACCCCCCCCCCCCCCCCTAGTCAGGTTGGTACGAACTATGCAGGATTTTGCTTTCCCCTGTAGTGGGCCTTTACTTGAGATCTTTTACCCATGTGTTAACAGCCTTTTATAGGAGCAGGACGTTGGCTGCTTTCCCTGCGGCAGGTTCAGGTGTGATGTCCATGTTGTGTCCGGGTCGATGGTAGTTTCACTAAGAGGTTAGATAGGTGGGAAGCGGTTTAGATAGAGCCGATCCTGCCTCAAGCAGGGGTTGGACTCGATGTGACCCCTAGAGCTCCCTTCCAGCCCCACAGCTCTAGGATGCTGTGCGCTGCGATTCACAGGGTAACCCCGGAGATGGCAGATGGGAATCCGTCGTGTTAAAAGCATCCTGCCCTGCTCTGCGCTTCTGCAGTTCCTTGCAACACAAGAATCGCCCTATTGTTTTTCAGGAGTCAAAAAGCAAATGAAAACCAAGAGCTGGCATTTTCTAACAGGGGCTCTGAGCCTAACAAGGGGTCTGAGAACCGCTGATCCAGAGTGATCTACCCCTGTTATACCCTCCCTAGCATGCACCATCCTCTGTTAATTCTGCTAAGGACCTTGTCAGAAGCACATGAAAAAGGAAGGTTCAAGGGTGTCAAAGGTGGCATCCCTGACTTTTCTGTTTCATAGCTATTATTGGATCTCTCATGCATGAAATTGTCCTGTCCCTTTTGGACCCTGGCTGAACTATCTGCCTCTACAATGTCCTGTGGCAGGGAGTTCCACTAATTAACTGTCCACTGCATAAGAAAGCATTTTCTCTTATTAGTTTTTTGCCTGTCCCCTCCTCATTTCAGTGGCTGCCCCCTTATTTTAGTATTCTGGGAGTTGGTGAATAACTGTTTCCTATTCATTTTGTCCACACTTTTGTTTTCTGTGGAGTGTGGGACATGCAGGGATGAGTGTGTGATTCTCCTGCTTCCAGCCACTTTTACCCCAGTTGTTTGTTAGTGGATGTTGCAATGCATAATATTGAATCTTTTGTATCGGGTAGTTTGTAGAAAGAGTACTCGTTCAGAGATGGGGAAAGGACAGCAGTTTCTCACCAAGAATTCGGTCTGTGAATGTTTCCTCTTTTTGTATTTCAAACCTAGGAGAGCTCATCGGTCACACAGAAAGGGTTTCTGGATTTACCTTTTGTCATTTCCCTGATCAGACCAACCTCTGCGCCAGCAGCTCAGATGATGGAACCGTGAAAATCTGGGATACTCAGACTCTGTCTCTTGTAACTGAGCATACGCTCCATCAGGTATAGTAGCCAATAACCAGGTCTGTGTGGCTGTAGGAAAACCACTAGAACACGAGTTTTCCCAAAGCTTTTATTAGCTAAACAGGGGGCAGAAATACATGCTGGGACCAAATAAGAAGATCCATGTAGGGGTCTACACCAGGTTCATTAAACTAATTTTAAAATCCATGTCAGTTAAATCAGCGAAGGTTTTCTGTTTGTTTAGTTAGTTGGTTGGTTGGTTGGTTTGGGGAAAAACATTTAGTGTGGAGGACATCCTGGTAAGCAATTGTGTGTGGATCCCTTTGCAATCTTAATTTCCTGGCAGATCTTTGACAGCTACAGCAGTGACTTTCCCAATCTTGCTCTGTATGTAAACATTAATGCCTTTAGTTATCTTAACCGAGGATAAAACTCCTACCACTTTAGCTGCCTCATTTAGTATTGTTTCACAGTTCCTCTCTGCCTAATATGGGGCTAGAGACAAGACTTTGTCATGCCCTGGTTAATCACTCTGCATTTTCAGAATACAATCTCAGCCTTGCATTGGTCACCCCTTGTGAAAGATCTGGTTGTGTCTGGTGATGAGAAAGGCATCATCGTTTGTTATTGGCATAACAGAAATGACAGCCAACAGTTCTTCCCTGAGCCTAGGACCATCTTCTGCCTCACGTGTTCCCCTCACCAGGAGAATCTGGTAGCTATTGGGTAAGTGTTAATTATGTTGCTCCCTTTTCTTATGCTGCAAGATAGATGGTGTGTGTGTTTTTTCATTGCAGCATAATTTTAAGGTTATTCTTTCAGAAATGGTGGTGGAGGTTTAGGGATTTGGCTAGTTCTCTTTGAGTGGCGGGAGGGAAAAAGAAGAACCTAAATGAACAACCTACTTATCGGCTTTCTGTTGTGTAACGGAGAAGTCTTGTAGTAACCCAGAAATGCCGGATCTCACAGACTCACTGGTCTTAGAAAGTTTATAGCAGTGTGTGAATCTGGGCTGACTGTCAGGCTACAACTCATGTAAGTGACTGGGTGTTGGGTACAGAGCTGTAGGTAACAAGATAACTGTGTTTGCTGACTTTGTGGCTTTGACCTATACAGTTCCACAAACTGATGGTTTGTATGGTTTTCTTTTTGTGCCACTCCCCATAGCTTCATGAGGCTTTTGCTGCCCACTGCAGTTCCAGCCCTCTTGATGCACAACACCTGTTCCTGCTTTATGCTGGGTCCATTGTGATGGATACTTGGCAATCTAAGACAAGATTATGTGGAGGGAAAGCTAACACAGGACAGGGGAGGGCATGAAATTAATTTTAGGAAAAGAAATTAAATCTTTCTGAACAAAAGATCCCTTGCTTCTTAAGTTCCCCAAGGTCAGTAGTGTTGATCCTTGGGGGATCATTGTCTCATATGTTGCATTACTTCTGAGGTCAATGGAGGTATGTTAGTTTACACCAGGTGAGGCTCTGACCCACGCATGCAAGAGGCAGTATGTCCCAATACATAGAGTATTGTGGAACTCCATATACCTGGGATCTTCCCAACTTGGCCTCTAGCTTCATGGATAACCTTGGTCATGTCTCTCTCCATGCGTAAAATGGGGATAGTGATGCTTACCTTCTTGGCAAAGCACTTTGCTAACAAAAGTCACTATATGCCAGTTCAGTATCATTGTTACGAGACTCTTAAGCATTTTTTCATCACTGTCTAACTGCTTGTTTTTAGTTACAAGGATGGCATGGTGGTTATAATCGACATCCGCAGGAAAAAAGAAATTGTTCATCGCCTGAGAGGTCATGATGATGAAATACACTCCTTGGCATGGTGTCCTGTGCCCAATGAAGAAGGATTATATAGTTGGCAAGAAGAGCTTCAAGGTACGCACAAACTATTAGGGGGCTCCGGGTAATTCCTTGTAACCAAATCAGTTCCTTGTTTCATTAATAAAAATAGGAGTCTGAGGCAGTCTGGGATTCAGTCTGATTTAAAATAAACTCAGTCTGCTTTACAGAAAAATCTATTCTTTGGGCAGCATAGCTGAACTTTATCATCTTTGCTTTTTATTTGTGCTTTGTATTTCCCAAGTGTTTTACCATTGTTTTAACACCATTTAATATTTCTCTTGAAAGCAGGTGAGGTTCCAAATGGGGAGCTAACACAGGAGGCAGCTGTAGCAAAAGGTTGTTACCTGGCTTCAGGAAGCAAAGATCAGACCATCCGGATCTGGAGCTGTGCTAGAGGCAGAGGTGAGCCAAAAACATTTCTCTAAGGCAGTAGTGGGTACTATGCATGGACGGTATGTCTTAAGCATGCTTTCTGTGTGGTAGCCCGGTGACTTAGCAATGCAGACGGCATTCTGGGATGACTGAACAGATGTGGCCATATGCAAGACATGAGATAATTATTTCATTCTCTTCATTGCTGTTGAGACTTCCATCAGAGTAGTACACCCACTTTTGGGCAGTGTAGTTGAAGAAAAATGTAGTCATATTGGCAAGAATCCAAAGGAGAGCAGCAAGAATGGTAAGGACTTTAGAAAACAAGACTTAGGAGGAAAAGTTGAGAAAATAGGGTTTGTTTAGTTTTAAAAAGGGAAGACTGATGAAGGACATTATAGCAAGTTTTTCCATACTGGAAGACTTATTCAAATAGTGATCAGTTATTTGCTGAGTAGAGAAGAAATCAGCTTAATTTTATAGCAAAGGTGATTTAGGTTACATATTAGGAAGAACTTTCTGGGAAGGTAATGAAGGACTCAAACAGGTTACTTAGAGAGATCATGG